GTGAAGAAAATGTCTTTTTGACTGATAAATTAGAATACAGGTAAAATAAGAGAGAATTTTTAATTTTATTATTCATCGATTCATCTTATACATAAATGAATTGTTTAATCAGATTATTTTGTAAATAAGTTTTCCTCAATTATTTTTATAGTTGTATAGTTGTATTACTATTTGTAATTGATCAAATTTCTACTAAATACATGGTACATCAGACACCAAATTACGATTGAGAATATTAGTAAAATATTAATACTCAAAAAGGTTTATTTAATGAGAATATTAATTGTTTTATCTATTTTCAGGTTATATTTCTGGGGTTTTAGGCCCCATAATCCTTGTTATATAGTTCATTCAGTTCCTTTATTTGCCTCTAATGCATTTGGTCATTATCAGCATGTTACAATGGTACAATGGAAATCTATGCCTTGGCTTCTTGTAGTTCACGGGTAAGACAATCATTGAATCATACTATAACCAATTGCAATAAATCATTTCTATTGTAGATATAATGACTGTGGTCGCCATGGTTGTATGACTAACTCCTGTGATAATGTTGGTCACATAACATGGGTTTCAGTACCTTCTGTAGGATGTTCTTCATGCAAAAAGGAATCCACATCCAATAAAGGTATTTTATCAATACATTTTTTTTTTATAATATTGGACTGTACATATTATTTTATAACAGTTTTACTTTATAAGAAAGCTAATAAAAAGTCAACACACATTTTTAGAACAAAATAATAGATTGATCATGTTATTAAAGCATGTTTGGTTTTAAATAATTATATTTTAGGTCTTGAAGGTCGTTCTTTATGTACTAGACACAAAATTTTGGCGCATACTGAATATGATTGTGGGTCTTTTGAACCTATCTTTAAACCTCATGTGAATATGAGGCGTCCTGGTCAAATAGTTGTGAGCACAGGTGCACTCATGCATGTTTTGGATGTGCAATTATTGACTTGTCAATCTCTCACTATGGGAAAATCTAATGAAAGAACTTATTGTGAACAAAATTCAACTGCTGGCAGTTCTAAAGATGAGAATGAGTGTAGTGTTAGTGATTTATTGAATATATCTTTGGATGAAACTCTTCGAGGACCAGAGGAAACTATTAAACAAAGTGATAATAAAATCATCCCTAATGTTATAGAATCAAAGAATAATCAGAAAGCTGATAAAACTTATGAATTTGTTGAAGAGGTTGAGAATTGTGAAAAAATTGGAATATTTCGGAAACGTAGGTTGGCTGATAGGAGGTATGAATATCATGAGGATACACTTGGTGATTACTTTGGTTTAAAATGGAATAAGTACATGAAACTAGGGGCTAACACAAATAAAGTTCTGCATGAAACAACAAATTCTAATTATCAGCGATCTCAGACATTGAATATTTTAAATGATAGAGATGCTAAACAGAATAAAGATTTCAATGAGAAATTAAGTAATAGCTCAGATAGTAAGTCAAGTTTGGTTTTACCTGAATATATTGTAAATTCACCACCTTGTTTTAAAAGAAAATCATTGCTGGTCTTAGAAGATGAAGATTCTTACAAATGCTCGATTACACATATAAGATATTTTGTTGAAAATAAGGCAGATGTTTCTGAAAGACAAACTTCGGGTGAAGAAGATGAAATTTCTGGTAAATTTAAAGGTTTATGCATTGATTAGTAGTTCAATTTAAATAAATAATTCAGCATTTTTAAGAGTTTAAAATATTTTAAAATTAGGTGTAACAACCTTAGTGGCTTAAATAAATAAATAAATATAAAATATATGATTTCATAAATGTTTGATAATTAGGTATTGGTTTTGAAAATATAGCAAGTCCAATTAATTACTTACACTACGTACTGTTTTAACTTTAGCCACTGTAGGTGAAAGTTTACCTGCCACTTTTCATGTATATTTGCCGCTCTCTCTCAATGATTTCCAAGCCGTATCACAAGAAGAATCCAATGACTTGATCAAGAAAGAACCTATTGTTGTTATCACTCAACAATCCTTTGATCTGGAGACTTTTAGTTACTTGGTTTCCTGCAAACTATGTGAGAAGGAAAAGAAATATTTTAAGTGCATTCAAGATTGGTACAGTGAAATTTTAAAGGTAATAATAATATTTGTATATGTATGGATTCATATTTGAATACAAAACATTTATTTTTTTAATTGCACATTACGATTATATTATGTAATATTAAAAAGTATAACCACTTATAGGTTTCTCCAATTAGTGGCATCACATGCATATTATTACTACATGTAGTAGCTATTCCTGCTATATATAGGAGACCATTATCAGTATTGCGCTGTGATCAATGTATTGCTGGTGATTGTTTTACACACCGCAAACATTATGAAGCCTCTTGTTTATTTCAATGGGATCCTACAACAGGATATTATGCTGTCATTAGCCACACATCTTTAAGAATTTTGTGTCCTGATAAAGATAGCCCACAGATGTGGAGACCTAATAGGCGACAGGCTTCAAAGATTCTAGATAATGTGGTGCAAGATAATATTGGTAAGTTGTTTCATTTTGTGAATTGTGAGTGTTTTTGAAAAGGTAATGAAGTTAAAATTTGTAGTAATGGTTTCATTTTTTATTTTTAGGTTGGAACATGCGAGTACAATACACTTTAAATACTGAAATTTCTTTAGAGAGCATCACGGATTGGGATCATTTTATTCAATTGAATCGGGGCCATGTCTCTGATGATGAGATTTATGATGTCTATGATGAATAATTTTTTCAAACTTTTCTCAAATTTTGATTATGCATCCATATTTATATGTGTATCTATATATACATAATGGTATGTATTTTAGAATGTTTATTTCAAACATTACATTATGTTTGAGCTTTATTAATATTGTGATTCACATATTATTATTATTATTTAATATGAAAGCAAAAATTTTTAAGTTTGATATAGAAATTTTGCTTAAATAAAATTATGACGATAGAAATATTTATTTCCGAACATTAGTGTTTCTATACTCCTTTAGCTTGAAGCAGCAATACGATATATAAAACATATATTTTTATAATTATTAGTTCCATATACAAAGTTCAAAGAAAGGATTTAATATTAGCATTATAATGAATTCAAAATCTTATTTTATATTGTATGTATTGACAAATTTTGTTTTCGATTGAATGATTTTTAATTTGAAAAAAATATTACTTATACTTACATTTTTTTAAGTAAATAAACAATGTTTTTTTCTTGATGAAATAAGATTGATTTGTGAATGAGAAATTTTGACAACGCTAGTTTAATGTATTTTTACTTCCAAGTGAAAGTTGTGTGCATATTGCCTCATAGATATAATGTGTAGCTATTTATAAAATATAGGTATAATTTTTTAATATAAGACTCAAACTTTTTTTAAGTATATATATAATATACATTTGTAAAATGTGTTCATTAAAATATCTAATATACAAGAAAGTTTTTTTTATCTTTTACATATGACCAGTACAATTATGTGGGGTGATAGATACTTGTTTATTTAAACATTTTTTACAACAATCACCAAGATCAAATACATTATTTTACATACATTCATTCATGAAGATCAGAATTACTATGCTGTAAATTAAAAGCTAAAATATTATGCTGTTTATATCAAATTATGTCATTTCTGAATCTTCTAGCTGTGAGAGTTGATATCGGGCATATATTAGAACTGCGACGAATATTAAATATACTGCTAAAAGTGTAAATAAATAGCATAGCAAACAGTACTTAAGGAAACGGGGCATTTCCAAATCAATCCTAAAAGAAAAAAAAAATTGATGTGTTATTATTACAAATATTGTAACAATTATCATAATATTATGTTTAATATTATTTTATTAATTATTAATATTATTATATTATAATATAATAATTATAATTATAGTTTAATGTAGTGAATACAACTACAGTTGTATTTAAGTATTATGTATATTTTTTTTTTACTTTTGTAGTGAAGGAACAATTTTTTCTTAAAATGACTCAAATCAAAATCATTTCATTACATTAAAAAAAATATTCAAAATAAAATAATGTAATTAGTACCCGTATATCTAGGAAGCATTCTTGAACTTCATATTTTAGTCTCAAATAAATTTATATATAGTTTTAAATGCATTTTATGAATTGAAATTAGTAAAATAAAAAGCATATATGACAGTCATAAAAAATTTTAATGTAAAACAAAATCTTTTGCTTAAATAGTAGTCTGTGATGTATATACGGCGAGTATAATCTTGTTCTTTCATAAATATAAGTTTTTTCATAATTTTATATATCTTCATTGAAAATTTGTATTTTTGAAAAGTTGCGGCAGAACCCTAGAGTTGTCATATTTTATCGTATAAAATTTATATTTGGGTTTTTATATTTATGCTATATAATTTCATTTGTTTATTCGCGTCTGCGCAATATTATTGATTTTTGCTTTATTTAGCACGTGTACAGAATATTGCAGCAAAGAAAATATTGTATGCATTTAAAAACTTCAGATTTCTCTTATATTTATAAGGCTATATAATATTATTAATAAATCAATGAATAGTTAAAAAACTTCTGATAAAAGTGTTACAACTACGAACTAATTGTGCGCTCAAAATTCTGTGAACTTCTGAATTGATTAACTGAAAATACCAATAAAAATACAATCACAAACTTTAAATTTTAAAATCACACAAACTGGGAATAGTGAACCTACTAAAACATAATTCGCTTTATCTAGGTAAGCAGTATATTAATAAATCTTTATTTAAAATGTAAACATAAACATTGACTCAATTTAAGATTATAAGACTCATATCAGCGGTTGTTTATGGTATAAACATTTAGTAGGTGGCGGAGTCCTCCGTTCATCTAGTATTAATTATTAGCAGCAAGTTTCATTCAGACGCAAAGACGTTGTGCAGCAAGGTCCACCCAAGCCCGGGCGCCGCGCGGAGCGTCTGGGCTCTGCCCTGGCACGGCCATAGTATGGCAGAACAGCACGAAAATGAAAATGAAAACAATAACGACAACGATAGCTCGGAAAATTTAATATCATGTTCAGAAAGCACCGAAATGTTGATCCAGGAAAGTGCAAGAGATCTTTTCGATATCGTAAAATCTGGGTATGTAATTAATAACATCTAAAAATGTCTAATAATTAAATGTTCGCTTCCATTCCAGGGATTTACCGGGTTTGGAAAATCTTCTAGAGCGATTAGATCCTGATGTTTTATCTGCCAGAGACATGCATGGTTATACTGCAGCGCACTGGGCAGCCCTGGACGGGCACGTGAGTCTGGTTCGGTGTCTAGTCCGACACAGTGCACCTGTCGATCTTTCTTGCTTGGGAACCCAAGGACCCAGACCTATTCATTGGGCTTGCAGAAAGGGTCATGTGGCAGTAGCGCAAGTTTTACTTCAAGCTGGAGTTAGTGTAAACGCGGCGGATTTTAAAGGTAATCGGTTGAACTTGATCCTACCTATATCACATAATATTTTTGAAAATTTAAGTTTTTGATATACACTTACTTATGATCTATAATATGCTTATTAATTTTTGTATAAAAACGAGAGCCTATTCGTCAGTGCCACTGCTGTGAAAATATAAATTTATGTTTATTATATTTTAAGGTTTGACCCCTTTAATGACTGCTTGCATGTATGGCAGAACTGCGACGGCAGCTTTTTTATTGGGAATGGGAGCCCTAAATCATTTAACAGATATAAACGGTGATACTGCTCTTCATTGGGCTGCTTACAAAGGTATACTATTTTTTCTTATCTACTGCCTTTAAGGGGGTCTTCCTATGTGACGGCCTGTTTTTTAGGGATATTTTAGGATTTTTCTACGACGAGTAAATATTTAGAGCTTCAAGTTTTTTATCATTTATTAACACATATTTGGACAGTATAAATATAAAATTTCAGCTAAAATATTCAGTCAAACTAGAGTTACAGCGCTCTGAACACCCCCGCCTCGAAAAAAAGAGCTCCCACTTCTTCACGATTTCGGCTGATCGGCC